GCTTTTGGTCTCTCAGGAGTGTGAGCTGCAGTCAGAAGGTGATAATATAGAGGCGTGCGACTTGAGTTCTCTTTCTGTTCTTGACTATGGGCAGCTATGTGCAGCCCCTCATCTGCAGGGACCTGTGTTCTCCAAACAGCAATACAACACCAAACTAGAGGAGCTAAAGAGAGAACACCTGGGAAACATAGCTGACCTGGAAAAAGTCCACCTGAGCCAAACCAAACCTGGTCAGAGAGAAAGACAGCTTATTGCTTGCTGGAGACAAAATGGAGAAGATACAGAGAGGTCTGCAATAAACAAATAAAAAAAAAAGGAATGTATCAAACAAAATAATTGTCATTATTAATAAATTTTGAAGATTTTTTTGTGGCTAAATTGAAATAAATTACTATAAAAATTATATTTTCCAACATCCAACTACTTAAAACTAGGAAACTGATGGTTTATATTCAAAGTAACGTGCTCTCTTCACTAAATTGTATCTAAAACCTCAGATTACACACATGGTGTTTGATCCCTGACCTTTGACCTCTTGCATTAGTGAACAGGTGGAGCTCATCCAGATTGGGAGAAAGGCTTCAGTGGGCCGTCTGAAGAATGGTGTTTCTCACCTGAAGTTAAAGGTCAGTGAGTGAGCCTGGAGAGCTGAGCTGAACTTACTCAAGGATTTGTTCATCAAATATTTTAAAACTCTCAGAAAACAGACATAACTGAAGTTGTTTATAAAGTGCGCATCAGACTGAACAAGCTGTTTTTAGGTACTTGAGAAGCCCAGACTTTAAAAGTACTTTGTTTACTTAAGGTTGTTATGGTGCACAGTCAGTATATATGCAGATTTGGATACATTATAAATATGTGCATTACAAAACCCCTCAAATTAGTCACCAGTCTAAATTTATTCAGCAACATTCAGTGGCATTTCTAGTAACCTGTACTGTCTATAAGAAGAACGGAGACAGTTTCCACTGAAAATACCATTATGAGTCAGCACATGGTTACTTTCAGATGCTTTGTAGGAGGAGTTGAGAGATCCACACAGTTCTTGAGTGTTAATGTCACTAATCAATCTACTAAGCAAATTTGTAATATTAATCATGTGAACCACTTTTGTACAGATCATCAGGTGATCTTGCTTCCACTGAAGCACAAGATCCTCTTTGGATCATCCTCAAATCATGCTGGAGAATATGATCATCAGGTCAGGTGTTATACAAACTTGTGGAGGTCATGCAGCTCAAGTATTGCTGTCATTAAAGCAAAACGGGGACAAAATAAATACTTACATTCTGAAATTCATGTTAATAATATTAATGTTTACTAAATTTTTGTCATTCAAAATGTTATGCAGATAATGTAATTTGGGGAAAAAAAACTGAAAGTAATGAAACTGAGGAAAAAAACTTAAAATCGCTGTAAATCATTTTTTTTTTTCAACATTTTTGACTTCAAGATCCACCTTTGTCCAAGACAATATTCAAAGTCCCTTCAATCATGCATTTCTGTTGTACTATAAATAAACTAATAAATATATTATGTCAATTTAATTTGGTACATTTGTATTTTAAAATTGTAATTATATTATCATAGCTAAATATTTTAAAGATTTATGTTTGGCCCTGGACATTTGCTGAGGTTCCTTAGTTGAGAACCACTGCTCTAAATTATAATTCTTAAAGGGATAGTTCACCCAAAAATGAAAATTTTGTCATGAATTACTTACCCTCATGTAGTTTCAAATCCGTAAGACATAGTAGTTCATCTTCATAGCACAAACCTTAGTGATATTTTTGATGAAATCCGAGAGCTTTCTGACCCTGCATAGACAGCAACGAAACTACCACATTCAAGGCCCAGAAAGGTAGTAAAGACATTGATAATATAGTTCATGTGACATCAGTGGTTCAACCATAATTTTATGAAGCTATGAGAATACCTTTTTTGTGAAAAGAAACAAAAATGACTTTATTCAACAATTCTTCTCTCCTGCGTCAGTCTTTGATGCATGATCATGAGAGTTCCACGATGCATGCATGAGGTGCTGCCGACGCAGGAGCTGGCGTTCTGACGTAGAACCCAGATGCGCTGCTGCTTGTTTACAAGCAGAGGAATACACACGCATGGTACTCTTGTGAACATGTGTCAAAGTCTGACACGGAAGAGAAGAAATTGTTGAATAAAGTCATTATTTTTGTTTTCTTTGCGCACAAAAATTATTCTCATAGCTTCATAAAATTACGGTTGAACCACTGATGTCACATGGACTATTTTAACGTTGTCCTTACTATCTTTCTGGCCCTTGAACGTGTCAGTTGTTGTTGTGCTGTCTATGCAGGGTCAGAGCTCTCGGATTTTATCAAAAATATCTTGATTTGTGTTCCAAAGATGAACGAAGGTCTCACATGTTTGGAATGACATGAGGGTGAGTAATTAATGACAGAATTTTAATTTTTGGGTGAACTAACCCTTGAAACCCATGAAACTCTAAACCATTTTTTTTTTAGATACTTATGCATTGCACATTACTGAAAACAATGTCACATCACATATTATTTTGACCATTTATTGTTCTGATTTAAAAATCAAAACTGCATTTAAGTCTGAATCGCAAATTGTTACAATGAGTTGCAGAGAACAGTACAAAAATCTAACATTTAATTCGATTTTCTTTCAAAACAGGCTCGGCAGAACTCCTTAGAGGAGCAAAGGAAGTTGTCTCACTCTCAGCAGAACTCATCTCACAGTGCAGCCAATCAGGGGATGGACAGCCTGAGACAGAATTCCAAAGTAACCATTCCCAAACCGTTTCGCATGATGCTTCGTGAAGAGGATCGCAAGCGGCGCAATGTGAAAACCCGCTCTGAGATGGAGCTAGAAAATGAGAGACTGAAGAAAGAACTGGAAGAGCTAAAAGAATGTAGCAAAAAGTTTCGCGCTAAACCAGCCCCGCCTCCACTTATTTGCTCTTCTATGACACCATCAAAAAGGGCCCAAATAAGCTCCAGCGGCAAAAAAATCAAATCAACCAAACAGATCACCATGGAAACCAACACAAACAAGGCACCCAACGCCAATCCCCACCTCTTCCGCAACCGCCATTTAGCTTCATTGAAAGAGAGCGAAAGAAAAGAGAGAAAAAACTAGCGGATGAGCTAAACAACCTGACTCCCAAAGCAGAACAAAGGGCGTTCAAAGCGAGACCCGTACCGAGGTCTCTATATAGGCCCAGCTCACCAACCTGCCAGATATACGAGGCAGTTAATCTGAATCACAGAGGCTCAGCACTGCCTCCTAGCATTCTGGATGACACACTGCAGGAGGAAGAGGAGGCCGAAAATGAGTATGATGATGAATTTTCAAGGCCACAGAGCACAGATATATCACACTGCAGCAGCAACCTCAAGAAATGGAAGAACAAGGCTGCACTGCAGGTGGAGGAAGAGATGGAGAGAAAGAGGAACAGAGAAAGAGACAGAGACTGGTCCTACTTTCATCCCCTATGCAGGACCAGCCTCTGCCACAGCCAGGAACCCCTGAACACCTGCAAGAGTGACTACATCAGCGTTTAAAAAATGACACAGATAGAATAAACCACAGCCTACAATACAAAATTTATCATCAGTACTATAACTCTATAACTACAGGGTGTAATAGAAACAGATATTGTTTTGGTTTTTCATTGTGTTACTTTGGATAAAAAAAATCATGTAAACAATAAATAAACTCATAAACTGATTATTTAATAGTCTCTGTTACATGTCTTGTCTTGACTGAACGCGTTTTCAGCTGGATTTTAAATGATTGCATCGAATAACTGAAATGACTTTGGGTGTCAAGTTCATTACTTTGTAAGCGGTGCTTTATCTTTATTGTTCCCTTAGTTAAGTTAAAGGGGTCCTATTATGCTTTTTCACTTTTTCAACTTTAGTTAGTCTGTAATGTTGCTGTTTGAGCATAAAAAAGATCTGCAAAGTGACAAAGATCAAAGTCCATTTCAAAAGGAGATATTTTATTGAACAGAAATCACAACGCATATGTTCCGGGATTTATATCACATAATCACATATATCACTTATATCACAAATATCGACGAATGGGACGAGACCTGGTTGAGCTGCACTAGAGAAGGCAACGGGTGTTATCACTGTGTCGGGGACACACTAGCTTTCCCAAGGCACACGAAGAGTGGTTACAATCATCCGGGTTTCAAGACTTTGTAAAAGAGCATAATAGGACCCCTTTAAATATATTATCAGGACAGTTTTAAAGTGAGAACACTTAAAGGAATAGTTCACCTTAAAATGCATTTCTGTCATAATTTCCTCACTGTCATGTTGTTTCTAACCTGTGATGATTTCATTTCTTCTATAGAACATGGACATGCAGCACCGTGCTGGTCATTCTAGTGCATGCAATTGCAATTGGAGCCTTTAATCTTCCAAAAAAAGACAAAAGCATCATTAAAGTATCATAAAAAGTGGCCCAAATGACTCCTCATATGACTCTTCTGAAGTCATACCATAGCTTAGTGCGAGAAACAGACTAAGATTTAAGTAATTTACTGATAATCTATCAGTAATTTTCAGTTAACTGTGGTGATAATTAAGTCAAAACAATTCATACATAAATTGAACACTTTGCCTCATGAACTCTTATGATCTCCTATGGACGCATGTCAACATTTTCAGTGAGTAACAACTTAAATGTTTGTCTGTAACTCATATAAAGCTATTGTATGACTTCAAAGGTTCTATGTACAACTTTTATGATAATTTTACAGTGCTTTCAAACCTTGAATGCTTCTTTACCCATTCATTAAAAAAATAAAAAGATCATTGGGGCAGTACCCTTTCAAAGGTTACTAATCTCTACACTTTATCTACTAATATGTACTTAAAAGTACTAATGTGTACCTTTAAGGTATTCATATGTACCATTCAAGGGTAAATAAGGTACAAAGATGTACCTTTTAGCTTTTGTACCTTTAGGATGTGGCAGCTTTTTGCGATTTTAGGTGAACTATGTCTTAACTATGATTCATACACGATAACTTTTACTCTCCACATCCCTCATTCACTCACACACAAGTACAGTCTTTAGTCTATATCCTCAGGTCTCAGTCCACACTTCCTGAGTGTACGTCTCACGTATGGAATGGCATCCTGCAGAAACCACTCTCTCCTGTACAAAACCAGCATCACATCCAGTAATAGACTGTGCTCCCTCCTCCTGCAGAAACAACACAGAATCAACTACATAAGCTCTGACAGTCAAATATAACTCCTATAAACTCATATTCATAAGATACATGCACATATGTTTTTTGATCAACAGATGCTCACAGCTGCTTGTAGAGGTTTTGAGGTTTATACAGAGGCTGTTCACAGTTGCTGTTGTTTGTGGTTTCAGACTTCTCAGTAAACTCCTCCTCAGGATGCTGAAACTCTTCACACTGACTAAAGCAGCATTCACTTCCTGCTGGCATGCCAAAAACAACATCTACAACATCTACAAAAACAACATCAACACACCTACAGCCTAAACACCGAATAATGAATAAGGCTGACGTAGCTGTTTTTTAAAATGATATAAAGGAGAATATATGGATCTCTTGCCTACCTGCAGGATACTGCTGAGACACTTGGTGTGAGACGACAATCATCTCGGTGTTCGTTGTGACTGCGTGTGTGTGTGAAGTGTTTGTGTCTGGACTGCTGGATTCTGTAAAGGGTGCAGAGTTGATCTCCCTTAAAAATGACTTGAGTTTCTGTCTCAAACCAGCATTTTCCAAGCACACCTGCAGAAGCAATATGCATACACATGCAAAACATTAATCTTTTGTTTATTTGAGTAATTGTTGCTTTTTTAACAAAAATAAATTGAATGAATAAAATTTTTATATACACTACCATTCAAAAGTTCAGGGTCAGTAAACATTTTTTTTTTTAAATACTGAAAAATTTAATACGGTTTCCAAAAAATAAAACAGCACAACTGTTTTCAACATTGATAATAATAAGAAATGTTTGAGCACCAAATCAGCATATTAGACTGATTTCTGATGGATCATGTGCTTGGCCCGATTGGCCATCACAGGATTACATTTTAAAATACATCGTAATAATATTTCACAATATTACTATTTTACTGTATTATTTGTCAAATAAAAGCAGACTTGGGGCCTATTTCATAAAACAAGTTTGCCAAATAAGGCAGGTTTATTTCAGTTAGTCTGACTTTTTGTCAGCTGATCTGGTTCAAAATAAGTCAGACTAACTGAAATAAGCCTGGGTTATTTGGTAAATTGTTTTATGAAACAGGCCCCTGGTGAGCATAAGAGATTTCTTTCAAAAACATCAACAAATCCTACCAACTCCAAACTTTTGATTGCAAGTATATGTCTTTGGTTACCTTTTCATAGGAACTTTTTATGTCCTCTAAGTGTGACATCAGTTCAGCCTGTAAAGCAAAATTAAACTGCAGTTCACATAATCTACCAATAAAGGGCAACACGCATCTAATTTCATTCTCCAGTTAAGGTGTGGTGTTTTTTCAACATTGAAATACTTTATTCTATGCCTCTATATCCAGAGACATCTAGAAATAAGCAATGTGTAGGTTGATTTCCCCAAAAGTGTAAAAAATATTGAGGTTTGTTTGAGCCTCCCTGTGACACAATATAACAACATTGGCTCAACCTATGGTGTGAGTTTGGGGGTGGGACTAGCTGTTTGACTAACCAATGCCACACAGGGGGAGTATTTCTGAAACAGTTTGAAGATAGTTACTATTTTAGCAAATTTTCTTGGTGATGGTAGCAGCACAGAAATTACACACTTCTTTTAAGGTTTGGTAATGGTGTATTGTTTCCAAGTTATCTGTAGAAAGATCTGAAACATGACCTTATGAAAAAGTCTAAAATAATAGATAAAATAATAATAAAAATAACTGAATACTACTTTAAAATAATAAGGACAGAATAAAGCATGAAACCTTTTCAGTCTCGAGCTGGCTGAGGGTAAGAGACACACTCTCTCGAAATCTTTTGAGCTCTTCTCTGCTGGTCTGTAGTTCTGCCAACAAGCTCTCCTACCATACAAACAGCACAATAATAACATGTTCATATAATCAAACAGATGTTCTAAAAGTCAACATTGGCAGGCTGTGTGTGATTTGTACCTGCTGGTTGTTATGGGTTGACACAAGCTGGCTGTTTCTCTCTCTGGTGCTGTTGAGCTGTGTGAGCAGTTTCTGGACATCCTGGGTCAGTCTCTCTCTCTCAGAGTGCAGCGTTTGTGTCAGCATTTTCTCTCTCTCACGACATGTGCTCAGCTCTGATCTCAGCTCCTCTGCTTCTGTTTGCAAACACACCTGAAGGACAGGCATCTTTATTTTTTCAACACTGTGCATGGCACAAAACTCTTACACATACAATTTGCATTTTAAGCCAAGGGCTGGGGTTGGAATTGGCATTGTATATGGTCAAATGCACTTTTTTGATAAAAAATGACAATTTTTCCAAAATATTAATGTAAATTAATACATTAATGAATGTTTACCTTTATATTTGGTTCCACTTTTAGATAACTGAATAACTTGCTTAATTTATATGTTTTTTGTTCTATTACTGTTTGTTTTTTATTTTACAGGTGCATCTCAATAAATTAGAATGTCGTGGAAAAGTTCATTTATTTCTTCCACACTTTTTCCTTCCACTCAACTTTCTGTTAACATGCTTGGATACAGCACTCTGTGAACAGCCAGCTTCTTTGGCAATGAATGTTTGTGGCTTACCCTCCTTGTGAAGGGTGTCAATGATTGTCTTCTGGACAACTGTCAGATCAGCAGTCTTCCCCATGATTGTGTAGCCTAGTGAACCAAACTGAGAGACCATTTTGAAGGCTCAGGAAACCTTTGCAGGTGTTTTGAGTTGATTAGCTGATTGGCATGTCACCATATTCTAATTTGTTGAGATAGTGAATTGGTGGGTTTTTCTTAAATGTGAGCCAAAATCATCACGATTAAAAGAACCAAAGACTTAAACTACTTCAGTCTGTGTGCACTGAATTTATTTGATACGCGAGTTTCACAATTTGAGTTGAATTACTGAAATAAATTAACTTTTCCACGACATTCTGATTTATTGAGATGCACCTGTATTATATAGACTGTTTCTACGTTTATTTAATAAGGATGCAATAAATTGATTAACAGTGACATTTATAATGTAACAGAAGTTTTCTATTTCAAATAAATGCTGTTCTGTTGAACTGTTGATCAAAGAATCCTGAGGAAAAAAAAATAGTTTCCACAAAAATATTAAGCAGCACAACTGTTAGAACATCAATAATAATACATGTTTCTTATGCATCAAATCAGCATATCTGAATGATTTCTGAAGGATCATGCGACACTAAAGACTCGAGTAATGGCTGCTGAAAATTTATCTTCATCATCAAAGGAATAAAAACAGTTCTTTTAAATTTAACAATATTACTGTTTTTACTGTATTTTTAACAAATAAATGCAACCTTAGTGAGCATAAGAGACTTTTAAAAACATTAAAAATCGTATGACCAATTCATAGAAAGAGTTTATCTTACACCTTTACGTTTAAAAAAGATTTACAGAAACTCCTCTGATCGTTGTTTTAATTGCGAAAAAACGCAAAGAAACATTCCTTCACTGCTTTTGGTATTGTGACAAAATCATTTCTTTTTGGACTAAAATACATATTTTTTTTACAAAGACTCTTTTTTTTTAAATTTGTTATATAGTGGAGTGGAGACTATGTTTGACTTCCACACCAAACATTTGTTTCTAATTTTGGTTTATCTGTCAAAGAATGTATATTGTTACTGTGGTCATCTTCTCGGGTACCCTCTTTTAAAATGTGGTTGTCTCAAATATCTACGGTACTTCCACTTGAGAAACTCACCTATGATATACATCAAAAGTCTAATGATTTTTGGCAGATATGGACACCTCTCTTGTGCTACATTAACAACCTCTCTTGATCTTCTATTCTATGGTGCATATTTAGCCTCTAGCCTGACTGAATTAACTTTTCTTCCTGATTGTTGTAATGTGGGGTTTTGTTTCATGTTCATGTTTTCATGTCTTTTATTTTGTAATTGTTTCACCCTGTTAGTGTCACGCTTCCCTTGCCCTCATGTATCTCTAGGTGCGTTCGACTTCATGCGGCGCCTCGCAAACCGATCGGCGGCTGACTTGAAGCAGTGCATGCCGGTTAGAAATTTTGTCCGACTTTACGTTACGTCACTGTCACGTGTGGCATCAAAGTACCGCGATATCGTTTCGAGAGCAGCCGGCTGACTCAGCTGGCGCAGCTTTTTCAGAGCGACTGCAGGAGCGCTGATGACGACACAGCTGTTTCACGATTGGCCAAATTCACCACATGACAACAATGACGTGTGTTTCTAACCTCTTCAAATCCAATACTGCTCATAAATCTGTTTTTAGAACATTAAAAGCTTTTTTACTGTAGTCGCAATGTTATATCGAGTCACGTTTATCATGAAAGCATATATACCCCCACTTTATTAGTATTTAAATAGTATATATTTACTTTGAACTCTATTCTTGAACAGATGGCGCTGTATTAAGCAGTATATAAAAAGTGTTTCTGTTGCTCATGAAAACGTTTTGTGTATTTGACAAATAATTGCATTTAATTCACTTCATCTGTGATACGAGTATGCAAACACTCCGCGAGCGTCACATACGGGAGCAGAAAGTGTCCGGCTTGACGGCTCCGTTTTCAACTCCGCCGACGACTGCAAGCGGCTACTCTCGTTGACTGCCGTCTGTAGCCGTGCTTCAAGTCGAACGCACCTTCTGCCTTGTGTATGTGTCATGTTCTGATTGGTAGTCTTAGTCATGTGTCTTGTTTCCCATTGGTTTGTTCATGTCATGTGACCCTCTTGTCTGCTATAAGTAGCCATCATGTTTCCATAGTCTTGGTTGTGTATTGATGTTGTAACTCTGCTGTTGGTGAGTCCTGTTCATGCCAAGTCAAGTCTGTTTTAGTCAAGTCTGTTCATGCCTCGTCAAGTCTGTTCTAGTCAAGTCTGTTCATGTCAAGTCAGGTCTCGGATTATTGTTTGGATGTTTGGATCACCTTTATAAATAAACTGCACTTGGGTTCACACTTCAACTCGCCTTCAGTGGACTGAATTCGTTACAATTGTATACTTCTCATTGTTTTCCACTGTATAGCTGAGACTGTATCTGTATGTTTATGTGCATTAGAATAACCGACGAATACAAAAAAAAAAAAATCGTAGGACCCCAGTGCATAAAATATATAAATATAATAACTCCAGAGTTGTTCCTCTATCTATAGGAACAAAGTGACTGTAGATACTGTGATATAATCCAGCGCATTACTGGTACCTCTGCAGTCTTTAATATTCCCATATCTGCAGATGTGTCGCTTGCAGATTCTTGATTTCCTCTTGTCTTTTCCCAGCTCAATCCCTCTTGTCTCTCCTGTGTTGCTCTTTTTCTCAACTCATTCTCCAGTTCTGCTACTTTTTGACTGAGAGAATCTTTGTCTCTCCTAGCCTGAATGATAATCTTGTCATAGTCCTCTCGGATCTTTCGTTGCCGGGAACAGTTAGGACACTCCACAGCTGCTGAGGGAGCTGAAAAAGCTTCAAGAGAGGATGTAGAGAGCCGCTCTACAGAACGGCGCTGTGAAGATGAAAACTCTGATCCCTTTCCAGTTCTTTCTCTCCCTCCAGCATCATGGAGAACTGCCCCAGACAGGTAACGGGGCAGGGAGCGGGTCCTACCTGCAAAGCAATTAAAAGTTCTTCTTTAGTGTTTAAAGTGATTACTGATTTTATTTGAAAATGCAGCTTGTTACCATCAGCTCTGTTTTTCTCATCTCCAGATCGAGATCCGCGGCTGTAATGCCCAGGTGGTTCGGTTTGGCCTGGTTTCTCCAGCTGGGGGAGAAAAGTCCCATCTCCACAGTGACCTGAGCTGAGTTTATGTTCAGAGGGACTGACTGAACTCAAAAGATTGGGAAGCAAGCATGTCTGCGACTGAAAATACAGCAAATGAAACACCAAATATGAAGATACCAGATCATACTTTCTTATAAGAAAAATGCTGTGAATGATAAAAAGTTAATTTCTTAAAATGTCAAAAGCAAGACATTTTCAAAACAAAGCCTTAAAGGTCTAGTGTACCATCTTTCTATCAAACCTATTACATTGCATGCAGGTCTATCATCTGACATTTAACTAAAGATGTCTATAGTTAGAACAGAAGCTTGTCAAATTTTTAAAAAGACATTGTTTACAAATTTCTCATTTTTAGCTTTAAACATATCTGATAACTGCAATTAGTGAGAAGCTATACAGAGCACCAGTCACTGGCTTTTAAAATTAAACATTTAATATGATAAACAATAACCAATAATACTGAAAAAAAAAATAGTAATAGGTACATAATAACATGATAATTTTTACAACTTTATATACTTAATTATAATCATATTAACAATCATTCAGTAAATTGACTGCCAAACTTATATAAAGTATACATCACAGTTGTGACTCGTTCAAATGGCTAACTTGAGTGAGTTTGAGACGGCTTTGTGAATCTTTTTACTGACTTATTATAAGGAAGTAGCTCATAAGAGAAGCCAAATCGAATATCATAACTTGTGTTGTTTATGCATATGGATGCACAAAACGGCTTTCCCTGCTAAATTTTAAATAAAATATTCCCACACATTTGATCTTTTCTCATATTTGCAACTGTTTTAGCTGCAATATGGGGCTCTGCTATGTAACTTTAAAGGGTTTGACATGCTTTATATGCTGTTTATAAAGCAATTTTTCAGCTATCTGACCCCAGGCTTGTTTTATGGTATTCGTATCTCAGTTAAAATGTACACAAAAACTGAATGTCCCAATAAAACATTGTATATTGTATATTCAGATTAACACTGTCCTCCTCTGGCTCAGAGTGTTCTGATGATGTTCTCTCTCACTATACTGTAACTTTAGAAACAGGCCACTAGAGGCAAAACTATTCAAATGAAGAGTCAAACTGATGAGCACAATAAAAGTTGCCCCTTTCATCTTTATGACTCACTCGGCTGCAAAAGGGCACTTGACATACAAACACATTCAGGGTTTAAAGTGATGCTATAAATTATGTCTATGTGAATATGTGCTGTGTATGTGTGTGAGTTTGAGTCTCACCTTTCTGTCAGATCCGACCGGTGGTAAAATCTGTTGTCTGTTCAGATGATTAATGTCCTTCTTCCCATTCAAATATGCACATGAATAGAATATGTTTGTGAGATTACATAATTTATTTATGAGCTGATTTTATTAAACAGTTAGATAAGAGCGGAGTGTGTAAGACTTCACCAGTATTGTGCATCTGGGTATGATCTGTAAGTGTAATCATTGGAAAAAAGGAATAGTTCACCCAAAAATGAAAATTTGTTGAAAATGTCCTCACCCTCAGGTCATCCAAGATGTAGATGAGTTTGTTTCTTTATCGGAACAGATTTGGGGAAATTTTGCATTATGTCACTTGTTTACCAATGGATCCACTGCAGATAATGAGAGTCCAAACAGCTCATGAAAACATCATAATAATCCATAAGTAATCCACATGACTCCAGTCCATCAATAAAGATTATCAGTTGTTTGAACTCTCATGCTGAACGGCACCCATTCGAAGCAGAGGATCCATTAGTGAGCAAGTGACGCAAAACTACATTTCTCCAAATCTGCACAGATGAAGAAACAAACTCATCTACATCTTGAATGGCCTGAGTGTGAGTAAACTTTCAGCAAATTTAAAGTGAAAAAAGGATTAAAACTGTTAGCAAACATTAGTACAAAGACAATTATTATAGGACAATAATTTATTGTGGTGTTTTTCTATTAAGGTGAGTTACATGTAAGAATGAGATGTATCTGGGAAGACTGTATGCACATTTGTTGAAGTGTGATGTATATTCTGAAAGTATGCTCCTGGGAAGAGTGTGTATACCTGTTCAGGTGTGTAATGTAATTGAGATGTGTATATGGGTCGTGAAGGAACAGCCATGGCTCTGGAGGCAAACTGTAGAGAGCTGAGAGTTTCAGATATTAAAGATGATTGAGATGACACCGTGACCACTAAACACGTCCGGCAGTTCCCTCCCAAACTAAACCAGATAACAAAAACAGTCAACAAACGTACACAAATATTGAAGAAATTGGAGAAATAATGATGGCGATGTTGACAATGCTCACCAGTCCCTAAGTGCTCGGGTTAGTTTGGATTCTCTGTATGGGACATGCTGGGACCCCGCAGAGCTGAGGGCAAAAATCACCTAAAAAGAAAGGATTTAGATTTTCTGTACTTTGCATTTTAATACTTTTTATAGTATTATATACATAATACCAGGACAGGTATCAAAACATTTTTTTTATGTAATTTATGTCCAAAATGACTATCATATTATGGAATATTTTCTTCAAACACAGTGAGAAAACTCAGAACGGGGAAGAAGAGGCCTCCACATTATCTAAATGTAAATAATCAAAAGAAGAGGCCAATATTCTGAAAAAAATCTTAGTGTGACATGACATCTTCCCTTCCCTAAATGGAAAGCTATGTAATCCTACAGATCATTTCCTGTGTCTAATTTCCTGCATATGCAGCCAACACATTGATATGATTAAGATAGGGCTCTTAGACTGATAAATAATCACTGGAGTACGTCTTGAGATACTCAAAACAAACTCTGCTCTTCAAAAATGCCGTTAGTCTGACCGGGACAACAGTGATAATAGATAAAGCATGCTCTTTTTTTGCTGACATGTTTGAGGTATTACTAACATTTCCGAATATGGTGAGGGAGCGTTTCAGCATCTTGGTCTCTTGTGGGTTTTCATTTGTGGCATTGAAAGTTCTCTTAATGTCAGGAACCACAGAACTACGACACTGGGGGTAGAGAAAAAAAGTGAACATTAAAACTGAAACTCTATTATTTGTAACCCAAACCTTTGTATTAAAGTATATAACAACACTGGAATGTCTTGACCATTTGTTGCAGGTAATCAACAGCACTGATATTCAGAAAAACAACACAATTATGACACATGATTTCTTTTTAGTTAATATTGAACAAACTTACATTTTAGATAGATACAGTTACTTTGGCAGTTTATTTGTGCTTTGTTTGTTGTGCCTCTATGAGCAACACGAGGTAGATAGTGTTTTATTACACTACAACTGAATCAACCATTTTGAATGAATCATTTGAATGAATGAAATTCAAAGACTTAACTGTAAAGGCAAATCACCTGTTTCATTCCTGGATGAATCAGCATGTTTGAAGGAGTCAACTGAGTCAATAATTCAAAGACTTTATCATTAAGGCAGCTGTTTGAATCAGCGTGTGGCATTCGTGTTTGAACGAATTAGGTGAATCATTCATAAAGACGATGAATCATTCATAATGACTCATTCATAAAGACAATCACTTGTTGCCACAGACTGGCGCATTGATGTTTTTTCTTTAGGTAAACATTAAAAACTAATTCAAAAACTTGGAAGCTTATCCCATGGTTAATATAGTGGTCAGTATTTTATAATAATCATAATATTTTACTATTATAATAGGTCAGTCAATGGTGGTCAATCAATTTCTTACTAAAATATCATGATCTGACACAGAAAACATTTCAGAGTAACATAAACTTACTTTTCCTGAGCTTGCCAGATCCACCTAACAAAAAGCAAAAATCATGCGAGTTTCATAAATCTTTATTAATTCACAAATATGGTGCTCACTACAAGTATGCCAAGAATGTGTACTTCACACAGAGAATACCTAATACTTTAGTTATGCCAAAAGGAGTCTCTGATGCTATCATCTTACCAGAGTGAGTTTGCTGGCTGTCAAAACTCCCTCTGCAACCATTAAGCACAAACACACACAAAGGGAGGTAGTTAATCAGATTTGTATTAATAGAACATAATTACGCTGTGACACTGTGAGTTTGCAACACACCACTGCAGGGGGTACAGGGAGACCCTGTGGGAGGCTCTGGTATGTTCATATCTCCCTACAATAACAATCAGACCGCAGGCAGAGGTTCCTAGAGCTGACTAATGCGTAGGGGGTTGACTGAGGGGAGCTATTGACCAACAAATGGACTGAGTTACCCATTAAAAACAAGTAAAAATGTTACAGAATGTAAGTGTAACTCTCCTAAAACATCTTTAGTATGAATTATTTATTTTATTAATCTAATAAGATAATAAAAACATGGCAATATGCAAGAAATTCAGGAAATAATTCAGGAAAACTTTAGAAAGACATATATATTTAGGAAACATAAAAACACCTACCAGGGGACTGGAGCATTGTGTTAATGACCACAATGTTGAATACCATATGGGATCGGCTTGGAAAATCTCCCTTTGAAATCCCTGAAGAATGTTAGAAAGGTATGACAAATTAATCTGACTGAATAAAGCAAGTTGAGATCACTCTGATCATCATACTTCAAATGAAATAGTGTTTGCTCATCAGATCAGATTGAGTTACTGGCTCTTACCTGTGTGTCTGAGGGCAGAGCCACGACGATGCACCTGTAGCAGATCCTGAGCGGAGTTCACTTCCACCTCCGTCAACCCATCGAGACGCACCACCTCCTCACAGTCACGCACCCAGATCACCTCACTCCCTTTTGGATCCTGAACAGATCAGGAAGAGAGACAAAAGAGCATCTGAACACTTTCCTTAATGTTAGACTTCACATGTTTCATATATTCCAAGCTTTTTTTAAACAATGAGACAGTTTACTGGTACCGTAAAAGTTCAAAAGTTTGGGGTCAGTCCGCTTTTTTTTTATATTCAGCAAGGATGCATTCAATTAATCAAAAGTGACAGTAAAGACTTTCACTTTGTTACAAAATCAGCAATTATTTTACATTTATTTATTTAAAATAAATGCAGATTTTTTTTGTCAAAGAATCTTGATTTAAAAAAAAAAAAACAATAAACGGTTTCCACAAAAGTATTATGCAGCACTGCGTATTAGAATGATTTCTGAAGGATCATGTGACATTGATGTCTGGAGTAATGGCTGTTGGTTTGCGGGCACAGGAATAAATTACATTTTAAAATATATTAAAATTGAAAACACATTTTAAACTCTAATATTATTTCACAATATTTCTGCTTTTATTTTTTATTAAGACTTCATTCAAAAACATTAAAATGTTGTAATAAGAGTCAAGCTTTATGGCAATGAGGCTTAATATTTCATCCCTGAAACTCACAGTACTGCATGGCACCAGAAATACAAAGGCCACGTGAACAATATATACAATGTAATTTTCTCTGAAAAAAGCATCTGCCAAATGCATTAATGTAAGATCATTGTGATTGATTGATTTAATTGATACAGTGATTTACTTACTCAACAAATACTTACCAACAGGTCATAAATCTTTTCATTGAAAATGTGGTAGAACGAGACTCTGATTTTGCAGTAAGATACCTTTGGGGCTGGATTTTTCAAATTAAGGATTGTTCTAAGATGCTTATGTACAGGTCCTATTATGTGTAGTCTGGTGAGCATGACACTATGAATGAGGAGTGGAATGTTACTGCAATATACAGTATGTGTTATACAGTAAGTCACTCTTATCTACAATAGAACATGAAATCTTAAGATATGACTTTCTAAAACCAACAGCCTGAAGGTTTGATACAGGTGAAGATGTCCTCAGCAGCGCGGCTGATGATGCCTCTGTGTTTGGCTGACACGCTGCATCCCTGCATGGTATGAGTTTTACCGCTGCCCGGAGAGCCATAGACAATTACACAGCCATTATAACCCTGCATTAGATACTCGACCAGAGACTGGCACAGAAAGACAGAGATAGATTAGTATCTCAATTTACAAATAAAATATATTAAGGACTAGTATTAAACATGACAATTGTTGCTAAGAACATTCTTTGAACCTTTGTTGTAGACTCATAAACATCTCTCTGTGATGCCTCCTCATTTAAGACTGCATCAAGGTCTATAATATGAGGCTTGTGACTCTGGAGAAGGACAAAAAATATTTTGAAAACACCTTCAACTTGACTTTATTGCATACTTTGGTTTCACTTGAATCATTTAATTCTGTTTTTTGCAAAAGAGCATGATGAATCTAATTAAGTGACATCTTTGATCTCATTCGAAACCTCACCCTTCCAGTGTCAACAACTACTCTGTTGAGATGTGTCACTTTGATGGAGGCTCTGGGTTCATCTAAAGAGACAGAATGTTCTGGTCTGTTCGCTGAGGAATTGAAAAATCTGGGTTAAATAGCTTCAGGATGATAAGAACACTGGAACAAGGTAATACAATGAAATAAAGTAATCATGCAAACTTCAGTAAAAGTTGTGCAGACCCTTATATACATTATTTTTATATATGTGTGAGAGCATGTGTGTAAGTCCTGTGGGTGAGTGTGTGTTCTCACGGGCACACAGACGGACGACCACTCTGAAACTCCTCTCTGTATTTAGGCGTTTTACTGCAGACATCCTCTTCAAAATTTGGCTTCTTGCCCAGTGGATAAATGTTGCAGACAAAGACAGAGATATAGATGCATGATTCTAATCATAAACAAGAATTTAAAAATTAAATTAAAGCATAATGTAGCTTGCTTTTTAGCCAAATATGATTAAATTAATAACTAATACCTGTTTTTCAATAAGGCAGAGACAGATCATCAGAAAAGTGGAACAGCAGTTTTATAGAAAATCTAGCGTAGCGTTAGTTCTGGCAGGTCACGTTAGTCAAACCATACCGCCAATCCAAACTTTATGCTAATTGTCAATAATCTTTGACGATAGTGGTCCTGACAGAAATATAATACAGTAAGAACTCCAAAAACGTTTATCACATTATAAAATAGCCTACTGTATGTGTAAATATGTAAAAAGTATCAAATATAATTCTAATATTAATGTTGCTCAAATTTACATGTAGTTTTACAGGAATACATGTTAAAATTAGTTTTTTTGTGAGCATATATTATTATTGCTGTTAAAGGCAGTAAAGCTTTGATTGTCGGAAACTACCATAAAATACTGAGACAACGATTTTGGTAAATAAGGACTAATCCATATATAATCCAATAGGCCTATTTATTCATATCTATGTATTGGCTTTAATAATAGCCAATACATAGACGATGCAATGTGTCATAGCCTAGATACAAATACAAAACACCATCAGGGTGACACCTATAACTTTTAAATAATACAATAATTATTAAACGTTAACTCAACCGCATAAAGTGTAGGCTACGATAAACACCGCAATGTACACGTAAAAACCAGATGAAACTATAAAAAACATACAATAAACGAGAGTTGGCCTACGCAAACTGTAGGCTACCTGTTTATAACATTATGTACTGAAATTAATAACAAAACTATTTGATATTAATTCAAATGACATAAATATAAATTTAGTTCCCTTATAAAGTTGATGCTATAGTTGATGCGCTTCAAATCGTCAAATGAAAAACACAATGTGAGATAAGATAATTTGTGCAGAGACGTACCTCTGTTCAACTGCTTCAGCTGTTTCTTTATGAAATCAAGCTACAGTCTCTCCAGAGCACATTACTCCTGGAATAACAACCTTGGAATCCAATTCCAGATAACCAGCCTGTCTCTGTAGAGCTGCCAGTATCACACTTGGAGTGTTGCTGACATGGTTTTGTTTTAATATTTTGAAAGCTCCTGTTGTTCATCACTCCTCACCTCGGGTCGCGCGGATGAGCGCGTTGTCTGTCTCGCGCACTGTTTAATTGGCGTTCATACAATCCACGCGCTCGCCGCGCAGTGAGGCGAGTGGACGCTTCACTCGGACTGTGACTGTGTGCTGAAAATGTCAACATTTTTTAACCAATAATTCAACCCCCAGAAAAAAAATGCAAATTATCTTCAGATTTGGACTTAAATGTTATTTTTATTACATTCAAACTTAAGCAATAAACTATATCTTACTAAAACCAGCTGGTTTTCTTGATGGTTTAAGATGGTCTCACAAATAATTTTCCGAGCCAGCTCATCTGAAAACTGTTCAAGAACCCTTATAAAACAAGCAAAATGATGAGCTAAAAATCAGAAAATCATTTTAAGGTGGTTTAAGATGTTAGGAATGATCTGTTCTGTATGTTGTTTGCCGTTTTGCAGACTTTTGACTTTTAAATAAGCTAACCAGCATGGTCATATTTGTATATTGATACAGGGTTGTATTTCCAACCATGCCACACTCTTTTACACACAGACGTTGCCGGAGCAGCAGTCTGGAATGCTTGTGTGTGACAACTTATGGCTGTTCCTCTTGACCCCCTGTACCTCTCCTCCAGCAGCGTCCTTTACTCCTTTACAAGGTGCTTGGAGGAGGAATGTGCATCATAAAATGGGATGTTTAAGTTTCTTATGCCCAAATGAAACATAGGAGTCACACATATCCAAGGGGGGCTGGGGGCAAGGGATGGACTTAACCCTAAAATACATTTATTATGTCAATACACTGTCAGAAATATTGCACAAATTGAGCCTACATAATTGAATAATGAAGATGTACTATACGCACAATGAAAGCAAAGAACCACTTCTCATTGTATAGCATTGTATTTCTATTTCATACTGTACCAGGGATTGTGAGTGAAACAAAGAGGGAGAGAGAGGAGTGATGGGACACAGCTTAGTGCTGCCATTGCCAGCTGTGTCAGTGTCAAAGGGCACAGATTCCTGATGCTCTGTATCTCGGTGTCTTACAGTCTAGTTTAACTGTCACTTCACCTGACATTTATCCTTTCTCTAGAACTAGCTACAATGGGTAAAATTTCATCTGTTACAATTTCATAAAGGTATATGCAGGGGCGCTGTAAGGGGGGGGGGATTCTGTCATCATTTACTCACCCTCATGTCGTTCCAACCTGTATGAGTTGCTTTCTTATGTTGAACACAAAAGAAGATATTTTGAAGATTGCTGGTAATCAATCCTACTATGGAAGTCAATGGCAACCACCAACTGTTTGATTACCAGCAATCTTCAAAATATCTTCTATGTTCAACATAAGAAAGCAACTCATACAGGTTTGGAACGATATGAGGGTGAGTAAATGATGACAGAATTTTTCATTTTTGGGTGAACTATCCCTTTAACTCGCTGCTCTACATGCAACTCGCAAATCACACCTATAGATGGCAGTATAGGCTTTACAGCACTATGAACACGAGACAGTACAGGTTGTGACCATAGAATCTGTATAAAAACAGGTTGTGACCCACATTGCGAAAGAAGGATCATTTATCTCTTACTGTTTGTATGATTATATAACATTCATGTAAATCACATTATGGAAAACATGCCCCTTTTTCTGGACTATTAAATAAAACCTCACACGATTGATATAGAGCTGCAGATGTTATAAATATTGCTCTTTTTTGTATTTTTAATGGACGTCAAAATCTAGACAGTATATACAAAAAAATACTCCACATATTTTAAATTATAAAATCTATACTTTCAGAAGTAAATAGATAAATAGGTTTGTTTAACACTAAATCACTTGTTTAAATGAGTAGGGGGTGGACTTGATTGACCCTTAAATAGCATTTCTGGAAGAGGTTCTACTGGAACCCACCAGATTCCAGCTGTAAAGTGGGTCAGGGGGAGAGAGAGCTCATCTTTCCATGAGAGTGAATTTTACTTGTCACACAAGCTCACAGGAAATAGACTATTACCAATTACAACACTGGGCCAGTTTAAAACTTCAAACCCAAAGTTATAGAATTGTCAGAGTTCTAGAACTTCAGTGGAATCCGGAGGGCTTCAGAATGTCACTTGGGTGTTTTCTGAAAAGTTCTAGACTCAAACACATTCCCTGGGAACTCCAGAGACTTTGTTGAATCATATCTCCAGAGCTGTGCTGGATGTGGAACTGGCAAAAACAAACAGCAGTGATGCATTCAAACAACTGTCACTGTATATCAAATGAGGCCTGCGTCTGCATACGGATCACTCGTGAGAACACAAAAAGAGATGCGTTTCTTGGGATGTGCATATTAGAGTAGAACTATTCAAGGAAAATGCACCAGAGGAGAAACTCAACACTACTCTTCCGTGCCAGTCACATCGCTCTCGAGATCTATTGAAACAGCAGGATACTGTTAAGAGCTCAGTGGATGACGGGTTTCGTTTTAACCAAGGCCTTGGAGGAGCATTAGTGTGGAAATGGATCTCAGCTGCTAGGATCGAGCAGGTGGAGGGTAGAACTCGTAAAGATCAGCTGGTTTGATTCCATTTCCAGCTGCTTGTTTTTGAGCTGGTGCGGTATACAACATCCTCTTTACCAACCTAACATGGTGCTGGACTTAAAGGGATAGTTCCCTCAAAAGTTAAAATTCTGTCATCATTTACTCAGCCTCATGTCATTCCAAACACGCATGACTTTCTTTTGTGAAATGGTGTTGTTATTAACTAAAATTATATTTTTTAAAAATGCTGGTAAAATCTATATTGAAATAGAAATAAAATGACAAAAGGATATATAAAAGGACAAAAGGATAAGGATATATATATATAAAAAATAACACTAGTAGATATTATGAAAAGTGCCAGAGTCCAAACAAGATCCCAATTGACTTTAATTGTATAGACAAAAATATTTTTTTTGCGTGTTCTGCAGAAGAAAGTACACATGAGGGTGAGTAAATGACAATTTTCATTTTTGGGTGAACTATCCCCGTACTTCTAATCTCCAATTATGAATTTACACAAAAGAAAGAAAGAAAACCCCCCCCCCCAAGAGAAATCAGACAAAATTATAAAATTCTTCCAACTTTAATCAGTTCAAAAAGTTTCACAACAAACGCAACATATATAGTAAAAGGGGGAAATTAACCATTGATAATCAGTATTTGGATTGGTACATTCTTCCTAATGAGAATGTTGGCATTTATGTCGGTTTCTCCCAAATAAACCATTGCATTTTATTTGGACAGGACTTAAAGATAAAAATGAAAAATGCAAAAATACAAAATTAAATGTAAACTGAGATTTATTTTGCTCTAAATAGTGTCCTGCAGCAATACAGCATGGTAAACAATGTAAATTAGTACAATTCGGGAAAAACTCCAAAGCAGTCTCTGAGTGAGTTAACATGAGCAGTTATAAAGGTGTAGCCTACAAGAACCCATAAATATTTCAACCACTTTTTTTAAACTTCAATTTAATGAAAGCTCACAAAAGGAGCAACCGTCCTCATTGAGGAAAACAAAAAACCTGATGTCGGCTTAGCGACAACACACACACGCTCACACACCCACAACTAAACAGGACGAAACATCCGCGTGTTCCCATGGTAGTAAAGATGCTGTACAGTGATGCTGATATGAACATGTAGAGGGGCTGCTCAACATTCCTGTGTAGAAAAAAAAGCAAACGGTGTCGCTTTCGAAACGCCACTCACAACCACAGCAGCATCGATCAGACCGTTCAACTCAGCAATCCACTT